CTTTATTAAAATTATTGTCCTAAAATCATGCTTAAATATGGTCACCATGACCAGAGACGGACGAATAGTACAGTTTTTGAGGTCTCGCTCGGTTTCTATTTTTCGATAAGAGCTCTATCTTGCTCTAGTAGTACATCCATGAAAAAACTACACAAAATGCTCAAAGTAATGACTCGAAATGTACTGACAAACTATGTCACTATTACCCTGGACCCTGATGTACAATTGTCATTTTTATTTTCAAAAATTTCCGTGTGCTAAAAGAACATTGTACCTCTAATACATATATCCATGTGTGAGATGAACATAGACATTTAGTGATGACTAGAGTGATTTTTTTTCACTCGTGTCACTCGGTACTGGTAACTTTCTCATTCGAGTGAAGATAAAAATCCAGTGAATTTTATTAACTCGAGTCACTCGAAATATAAAACTCGAATGACCAACATTTTATAACGAATAAATCAATATTAATCTTACCTAGAAAATTTAAATCAATTTTCGCATTAATGTATAAGATACTTAAAAAATCTAAACTAAAAGTTTTTTAGTTCAAACTAAACCTGTCATACATATTCAAGAAATTTCTTATATCAATTATCAGTCTAGGAATAAGTTCTAATTTAATTTATTCTAACAAGGAATTTTCATGAGATACAAATAAAAACAGTTTCATATTTTTACACGATTTAGATAATAATAACCATACTTTAAAATTAACTTGAATAACTAAATGAGACAACTTTAACTGAATTTACTGTAATAATTTGTCACTCGGCTCGGTATAAACCATTCGAGTTGTACAAGTCACTCGTAATTCGAGACTTACTCGAGTCATTCAACTCGAATCCGACTTCACTATCGACATTAATTTGACAGAGAAGTAAGAATGGTTGTTTATTTTCATATTACCGCGAAAACTCGCATATGATGACAAACCTATGAAATATTAAGGAGATATTGTTTAAATACGGCCAGCTATGCCGCGCGTAAAGATTGACTACGTCGTTAGTGTAAGCAGCGAAGACCCGGTAAGTAACATCAACAAACACTGAATTATTTTCCGATAAGAAAGTTACAAATTGAAATATTTTACAACTATACATTGACACGCTCGTGGTTGACTCGACAAAGTAGTAAATCTTACTAGAATTAAATAGATTTCGTGTACATGATGTATAACATTGTGTAGGAGCACCCCGCCAGCAACCTGGTGAGCGGCGAGGTGGGTCGGCGGCGGTGGCTGTGCGGCGCGGGCGCGGCCGAGGGCGCCGTGCTGCTACAGCTGCAGCGCGCCGTCACCGTCAGTGCTCACTAACTATAATGCTTTACAGTCATATTCACATTCTCCTGCTAACTAAAAGCTTCTCTACTTTACTTTTCTTGTCCACTTTCAAATGAAATTACATATAATATTATTGATCTTACTAATGTTATAAATGTGAAATTTAGATAAATGAATGGATGTTTGTTATATCTCCAGAATGGCTTAACCATTCTCTATGACATTTGACACAGATGTAGAATGCAAGGTACTTCATCATCTCCCCCACCTTATCCTCCTCCTGTAGGGTTGGCACACCGGTTTATGTTCCTTCAAATAAATTATGTCATCTCATTCAGCACACTCTGCTTGATCATGTCGCCTATCACACAATTTATCCATCTCTTTCGGGATAAAATAGGATAAGCCCCCCAAGTTGCAGAATAATTGCTCCGTTTTTGATCTACTTGCGGTACTCACCATGTTTATTTTAAATTCCATTTGGACTGAGTCACAGGTAAAATCTAGTTAATGATTACTAGCTTACATCTGCAATTCCATCTGTATGAATTAAGAAAAAAAAGTAAAGTAGCCTATGTGCTCCTCCAGACTTGTCTACACCTATGCAAAGTTTTATTAAGATCTAACAAACATTCATCTAAACCTTTACATTTATAATAATAAGTATGTTTTTATTTAGATAGTATCAAATTGTTGATTAATAATATTTATAATAGAATAATTTTTAGTGAGAATGTTTTCAGATATGTGGAGTTCACATCGGATCGTACCAGGCCGCCTTCGTGGAGGTGCTAGTGGGCACTGCGGACCGACCCATCGACCAG